TTAAAAGTGCAATAAATGTAAAACTTAACTCGTTTGCGACATTAAAATAGCGTACTTGATTTGATTGTTTTGCACGTGCTGTTTGGCGCTACATTGTGACGTCACGTAAACAATACTTTAAACGTCTGTACAGCGTTAACGACTGATTAAAAGATATTGGTGTTCGGATTCATTTTCTTAGTTATACCATTTTCTTTCATTCTAAATAGTTTTCACAACAAAATTCGACAAAAAAATATTTTTATTTATCAGATTTTTCAAACAAAATGGCGCCTTCAATTTTCATTTTACATTTTCCGTTTTAAAACTGTCATTCGATATTTTATACACAGCTTCCGTTATTCTGGTTCCCTGTCCAATTATGGGTCCCATTAGACGTGCGCGGGTGATTAGTCTACACATCCGTTTTCAGTCATAATTCCTCAGTTTTTATCGTTATCTTTAAATTCGAAAAGTTGCGATGTGTCCAATTCGGTACTTCGGACGAAAGTTTTCAAAACCATCACTTAGCAGGTACTCGCGTTACCGTAAAGCTCGCTTTGCGAGCAGGCCCTTCGGGCCAGCTCGTCGAGCTCGCTAATATGAAAAAGGCAAAGCCTCAAAGCGAGCTCGATGTACTAAATAGTATACATGTATGAAAACTTAAAACGTTTGCGACATTAAAATAGCGTACTTGATTCGTTTGTTTTGCACGTGCTGTTTGTCGCTACATTGTGACGTCACGTAAACAATACTTTAAACGTCTGTACAGCGTTAACGACTGAATAAAAGATATTGGTGCTCGGATTCATTTTCTTAGTTAGACCATTTTCTTTCATTCTAGATAGTTTTCACAACAAAATTCGTCAAAAAATTGTTTTTTTTTATCAGATTTCAAACAAAATGGCGCCTTCGATTTCGATATTTTATACACAGCTTCCGTTATTCTGGTTCCCTGTCCAATTATGGTTCCCATAGACGTGCGCGGGTGACCAGTCTACACATCCGTTTTCAGTCAGAATTCCTCGGTTTTTATCGTTATCTGTAAATTCGAAAGGTTGTGATGTGTCCAATTCGGTACTTTGGACGAAAGTTTTCAAAACCATCAATTAGCAGGTACTCGCGTTACCGCAAAGCTCGCTTTGCGAGCAGGCCCTTCGGGCCAGCTCGTCGAGCTCGCTATTAATGACTTTATGAAAAAATTGAAAAACATGCCTAGAGATAGTGACGTCAGGGTTAACATGACATTAATTTAAATGATTTTACTATTATATTAAATAAAAAATGAAATGTTCAAATTTGATGGGACAGACTATAGTGAAATTTATAAAATATAATTTTCACTGTAGCCGGGCTATATCTGAATGCGGATGAAAAGAACATCATAACTAAATGGAATAACAAGCAAAAATAAATGCCGTCATACGTAAATTTTGATTCTTTAGGAAAAGAAAGCCGATGTCACCATACTTCATGTTAAAAATGTAACAAAATTAGAGAAAATTTAACAGCACTATATATCAAAATTGATGATCTGACTTCATGAAGTATTGTCGTCATACAGGAGAATGCGCAAAGTTACGCAGCAAAATCAGTAAAAATACACTTAAAAGCATGAAATAAAAAGATAATTAATTTGTTTTACATGTAAGATTGAAATTTATTTCATTCGTGAACACCAGCTATTATCTTTTCACTCGTGGCTACGCCACTCGTGAAAATATTGTATCTGGTGTTCACTCAGTGAAATTATATTTCAATCTTTCATGCAAAACAAACAAATATCCTCTATGTAAACTTCTTAAAGCACATAACTTTTCTTTAACATTGTAAAATATGATAAACAAATATGCGTGTGTGTATTAAGTTTATTGAATACATTTCAAGGAATATGTTAAAGTGCTACTTCCGACTGAAATTGATGCCCTTTCATGGATTGTTTATTAACACCTACAAAATATATCTGACTAAGCCATGTTTTGTATTTTCCAAACATGAAAAAACTGCACCGCGGACAGTTCCAAAAATCATAAGATGAGTAATATTATTCACATATACGTATATTTACTGGTATATCACACATGGTATTTTTCCTATAGTTGTTTAGACCTGACAGAGTTGTTCAATCGTTGAAATCAAATTAATTAAAGACTATTATGACAAGCTGAAATAAGTACGAGTACATTCGAGGAAACAAACCAGGCAAAATTTGTATATAAAAATTAATATACTTCGCCATATCATAAGAGGAAATTTATTGCAGAAAAAACAACAACATGTAGTCGGGGCGTCATGGTCAGGTGTTTAATTTTCTTTACATCAGTATAAAGCACAAAGCTTTAAACCTAAGGAGAAGCTCGCGTGTTATGACCGATATGCGATTTGTTCCAAACAATATTAAGTGTATGAATTTCCATAAATTAATTGGATTCAACCGTTTAATAGTATTATATAAACACCATTTGTGACTCTAGCTGTTGCGGATTAGCAATTACAAAAGTTCGGATGTTCTTCCATCTTTTCTGTATAGTGTGTAATTTTTTTTGTAAATAAAAACATCACTTCCTGGTGTAAACCGTTTAAACACCATTTGCGTCATTCCGTTGCATTAGGTTGGAGGTTCTCTTTTACATTTATATAAAAATCTGGAAATAAAGTGATCCCTTGGAAGCATTAATAACAACAAAATTACAAGAGAATTGCAGACTCGGTTTGATTGAGTCTGTACATGAGGGATAATGAATAAGTGCAACATTCCTCACGCCCCCTAGCACCGGCTTGAGCGGAACTCAATTCTCAACACTTAATAGTGCTGGCATCAATGATCCCAAAGGACCAGAAAAATATAACAACACTGAAGTGAAGTGCGGGGCAACTTTTTACAGCTGCCACACAGCACTTGACACCTGCTTTTGTGAAGTATAAAAATCTGGAATTAAAAGTGATCCCTTGGAAGCATTAATAACAACAAAATTACAAGAGAATTGCAGACTCGGTTTGATTGAGTCTGTACATGAGGGATAATGAATAAGTGCAACATCCCTCACGCCCCCTAGCACCGGCTTGAGCGGTACTCAATTCTCAACACTTAATAGTGCTGGCATCAATGATCCCATAGGACCAGAAAAATATAACAACACTGAAGTGAAGTATAAGCCACAATCTTCTCACTCAAGGAAAATGGCATCGAGTAGCTCGTTCGGCATGCTTTTTTTGTAAGACATGGAAGTGTTATTTATAACATACTTTTACAGAAGACATCATTATCCTTCTGAGTCAAGGTATGAGAGTCCAGTGATTTGTTACACTCTGCACACTTGAATATGGGTCACCTGTGGTCAAAAACTAGGTCACACCGCCCAAATATGGAAAATCTTTGTTACTACTCTAGTGGTTGCATTTTTGACTTAATTGTCATCAGACATGGTCAGGAAGCTTGTATAGGTATCTAGGTAATTGCTCGGATGAGTTCGAACATGGGTCATCTCGTATATAGGAGCTAAAAATAGAAACAAATTGTTCACACTCTAGTGGCTACTGTTTTGATCCAAATTTTCTGGAAATTGGTCTGAAAGTTTGTTTTGATGATCTCTAGGTCAAGGTTGAATATGGGTCACCTGGGATCAAAAGCTAGGTCACACTGCTCAAGTATGGAAGAACCTTGTTCACACTCTAGTGGTCACATTTCTGACTCAACTGTCATAAAACTTGGTCAGGATGCTTTTCTAGGTAATTGCTTGGATGAGTTCGATGGGTCAGGTGAGCAATCTAGGGCCAACTTGGCCCTCTTGTTTTAAGTGTTTGAGTAATGGGTTACAGTATATATTTTTTACTTACCGTGCAGCTCTTTAAAAATAACAGATGATCTTACCTTAATCACATGTTTCTGCGGGGATTTCAAGAACTGCGTCTTCACCTAGTCAAGTTTCTTACATGTCACATTTAGATAAGCTAAATAAATGGCCCTTTCAGCATATTTTTACAGAAATGTCTTATTAAGATTGCCCAGAATTTATACCTTTTCCTTAGCAATATATACGCATTTACATATATACGCATTTATATATATATATATATATAATGCAAAAATGTTAACTCATTTTAATGTTGTTTGACAATTACGCAAAAATGTTTACTCATTTTTTAAAATAAAATAAAAATTGTTACTGCTTCAAATATAAGTGATGTTCATTCGGAATTAGATAATGCAATTTAAAACTTAAAAAGTTCGTTTATTTTGCATAAATTCGGAGCGTATCGGTAAGCCGTACTGAGTAAAGTCGGAACCGTACGTACTCCCTTTAAATTCTTACGACTTTTTAAACAATTTTCATAATATAATTGTACAAGAAAAGCATTCATGCAAAGTATTAAAGGGCGTCCAAGCAAGAAATGAAACAAGTAATAATGATTTACACACTTATTGACTAATAAAATACGCTTAAACGTGCCGAAATAAGCACAAAAAACACACTGGCAGTAACAAAAGTTATCATAAGAACTCCAGTACATATTTTGAGTTATCACAAGAACTCCGTGACATTTGAAAAATCGGGTCTAAATTTATAACCCTGTATGTTTGCAACACTCCACTATAATTAGGTACTTAAAGTATAGCAACGAAGAAGATCACGTATGAAAAGGTCAATATGTAGGAATGAGGAAGTAATTTGGAAATTTTACTCAAAACTACCAGATGTTTTTAAAAGGCGATGAAAAAGGTTTTTCTGAAACATAATACAATATGTAGGGCAAGCTTAATTATCATAGTTAAATTTAGTACCTCAATCTCCCCATTTAAAGGTGAAAATTAGCATTTTTTATGTCTCTCCAAGTATATAGAAATGTTTTCCACAGAAATCCGTAACGTTTTCCAGGAACTCCGTGACAGTTATCATAAGAACTCCAAACAAGTTATTATAAGAACTCCAACCTCCGTGTAACTGTTCCTCCCCCGTGATGTACGTAAATAAGTGTAAAATGATAGCCGAGGTGTTCCGGTTGCCTGTCCATAAATCGAAAGCAGGAAGTTAAGTAATTTCCGTCACCCATAAGGATATAGATAACGAACTGAAATGGAAAAAGCAACAGAAAATCAAGCACAATACAAACAAAAAGAAGAAGGTATTGATGAAATTAGCTTCGGGGATAGCTCAGGCGAATGTGATTTAACTTTAAAAGTTGAGGACAAAAAGATCCTCGTGTGTAAAGCCGTGTTGTGTATAGCGTCACCTGTGTTTAAAGCAATGCTGAAAACAGAGTTCAGGGAGAAAGGTCAGGCAGAAATTGAACTACCGGGAAAGAAGTATGAAGATTTCGTCGAGTTCCTGTGCTGCATTTACCCCGATAAACTGAAATTAATAACAGGTTTTTTTTATACTTTTATATTAATTCTTTTTGTCGCTTCTTTGGAAACGAATACAGGTATACGTCTTGGAGCGATGCCAGCAATGCCAGATGACTCGGCTGAGACATCATTATTTGAAAATCGGTCCGTTTCTGAACCATTTTATTTAAAGTCCCTGATTGACCGTTTAGCTCTTTTTATTCCTTAATCTATTTAAATGTAGTTATCATAATCTTTTAAACGAGTTATTAATTCTGAAAGAACAAAAGCATGTAGATCTTGTACGAAGTGCACCAATTAAATTTCAAACAGTCATTCAAAATTAAAGGTTTGTAATCAATCTGACTAAAGTCCAGAAGATCTACATTAATTAGTTATTTCTTACATGTATATCTGATTGTCGGTTTTGGTTTCGCCTTCTTTGTTGTTCGGATTTCCCGATATGTTATTTTTAGCCCATCGTCAGATTAGTCCAACTAATTGTACTGCGCGACGACATATTGTCCAGCCTACCTTTTCTGTGGTGAAAGCTTGGGCACCGCTAATATCACGTGACAAACACACTGTTGATAACTACACTGGTGTGTAACCGGTACTGCGTTACTGAGAACTGACGAAACACACAGGTTTTATTTTACATGTTATATTGAAAACTTCTGTAATGATCAAGATGTGATAAATATATAACATAACTGTATTTTTACTTTAGAAGCCAGTTTACAGGCTCAATCTGATATAGATACAGCATATGTTGAGTTATGTCAATGCATTAAAATGAAATGTTTGTTAAGCTGCCTGGGATGAAACAAAAGACTCTTAATTCAAATAACAATAAAGGTAAAAAATGCTATAAACCATGGTGGTCTGATGGAATAATGTATGTAATGCTGAAAGAATGTTTTGTAAATGCACCAATGTCTAAAATAAGAAACGTCTGAGACAATCCTACTGCCAGGAAAGGAAAAATTTTAGTAGAACTGTACAGAAGGCTAAAAGGTATTTTTGGTACAATTTACAAAAGTCTTTTAAATGAGGATGAAAAAGATCCGCAGTCATTTTGGAAAAATATTGGTAGAGTTGGTGTTGTTTCTCATAAATCCAAAACTATTCCTATGCAAATTGTAAATGATGATGGAGATTTAGTATCCGATATTCCATCTGTACTTGATAAATGGAAAACATCTTTTGAGAATTTATATAATGTTAATAATAATGTAAGAAACAACCTTGTACATGTAGACCGGGCTGATGATACGCCTCCTGGACAAAACACATGTTTAGAATTTGAAAGGGAGATTGGTGTTTTAGAGGTCAGGAATGCTATTAAGCGGGCCAAAAATAACAAGGCTAGTGGGATAGATGCCTTGCTGTATGAGGTATTTAAAAATGACGCCTCAGTCTCTTGTCTCGAAATTCTTTTTAATATTTGTTATTCCAAAAGAATGGTTCCTTCTGATTGGGGAAAGTGTATCATCAACCCGATCCCAAAGTCCAATACTCAGGATAGGAAAGACCCTATGTCATATAGGGGTATTGCATTAGCTAATACAATGTACAAACTGTATTGTAGTATTCTCAACCAACGTTTGTCAACATGGGCAGAGTCGAATGCCAAGCTTGAAGATGAACAAAATGGCTTTCGGAAACGTCGTAGTACAGTTGACCAATTGTCAACCTTGACCAATATTGTTGAAACACGATTGAAATCCAAGCGATCAACATTTGTAGCATACATAGATTTTAGCAAGGCATACGACTCCGTCAGTAAGGACATTCCTTGGAAGAAATTAGCCAATGTTGGTGTTAATGGTAAAATGTTCTTAGCTGTAAAATCTATTTATTCTAATGTAACAGCTTGTGTACGAGTAAACAATTTGCATACAAACTGGTTTCAACTGGTAAACAACGACCTTTGTCAGGGCTATGGCTTGTCACCAATTCTTTTCAATGTCTATGTTAACGATCTTGCTGTGAGACTAAAGGCATTGAAGGTGTTGACATTGGAAACGAAGAAAAGTTGTGTATACTTCTATATGCTGATGACATTGTTTTCATTGCTGAAACTGAGGAAGATTTGCAAAGTATGTTAGATGTTCTGTATGAATGGTCATGCGCCTCTCATATGAAAATTAATCCGACAAAGAGGAATGTAATGCATTTTAGACCAAATAATGTAAATAGGACCAATTTTGTCTTTATATGTGGACCGGATAATCTTGAATGTGTTCCAAAATATGTATACTTAGGTTTAACACTTCAAGAGAATTTAGACTAATCTGTCACAGCAAAGTTTGTTGCTCAGTCAGCCAGCCAAGCTTTAGGTCTCTTTATAGCTAAATACAAGTCTCTAGGGGGGATGCCTTACAATGTCTTTACTAAGTTTTTTTACTCGTTGGTTTGGTCTATGGTAGCATATGGATCAGCTATATGGGGAAACAAATCGTTTTCCAGTATTGACTCAATTCAACACCGTGCTATGTGTCTTTTCTTAGGGACATCCTGTTTCTCTCCGTCAGCAGCCCTGATAGGCGATATGGGCTGGCAACTAACTTTCAGTAGACAGATGATAAGTGTTTCTATTTTTTGGCACAGACTATGTATGATGCCTAGGTCCCGAACAAACTACAAAGTGTTTATGTATGCTAATTCATTTGGTAGTACAAGATGTAAAAACTGGTGTTTCAGAACAAAACACATTTTTTTTAATGATCTTTGAATGTACAGAATTTTGTAATATTGATAATACGCGTATCAAAAAGCTATGTTAGAAAAAGTTCAATCTAGAACAATGCAAAGTTTTATTGCAAAGTGGAATGTTAATGTTACATCTGAAAGAAGTAGAAGGGGGTCGGTGGACAACAAACTGCGCGCACATATATGCAGTTTAAGACAACTTTTGGGAACTGAGGAATATTGCAAAATCATACTTCCGCGTTTAGCCACAGGTCCGTTTTTGCTAAGTTCAGATTGTGGAACTGCACCCACTAAGAATAGAGACAGGTAGATATGAACGCCTACCAGTAAATGAAAGGCTTTGTCCTTTTTGTAATGACAAGGTAGAAAGTGAATTTCATGCTGTAAAGGAATGTTTTATGTATGAAGATATTCGTGTAGATCTATTTAAAAAAGTGAGTGTCAAAAACCCACAATTTCACACATTGACAACTATGGAGAAGTTTACTTTTATATTCTCAAATACCAGTTGTGCAAGGTATATTGCCAAAACCTGCTTTGACATACTTCAGAGCAGGATAACTTTCCCTTACATATAAGAACATCCAAATTGCTCTCTTTTTCCTTTTTCTGATGTGTCTTTTTATATGTTTTTATTTTAATTTAAAATATGTACATTGTATATAAAATATTAATAGGTAAATGGTTTTACTGAAATGTAGGTTTTAAGATAAATATTTTAACGAGACTAAGACTGTGGTCTCACATCGTTATAAATTTTTCAAAAAGTGAATATTATTTTATAGTTAATATAGTCCTAGATAAATTTAATTGGACAGTATAAAAGATTTATAATAAAACAGTCTTAGTAAATTTTATTTAGCAGGATATGGTTTTAAAAATGTCATTAATTGACTTATATAAGTTTTAATGGCCATATTTATTACATATTGGACAAATATATGTTGCTTCTGTATAAAACATCCATTGACTAAGCCAATATATTGTATAGATAAAACAGATCTTCATGTAAATTATGTTGAAGAAAACAAATCGTTGATATACTGAAGTTAGTAATATTTTGAGATTGTAAAGTATCAAGTGTAAAACATGACATACTTTCCAAAGTTAAATGATATATAATGGTCAATCTTTCTTCTTACCATTTGCATTTAAACATTTTAGTATCGTTTTATTCATTGTACCACAATGTAACCTTCTGTAGGAAAAACATGCAATAGTTTGAATATATTGAGGTCTTGTTTTTAAAATACAACAACCTTTTAATGAATGATAATGATTATATGAAATTTGTGTAGCTAGGGGGGATAACTCCTCAGCATAAAACAGTAAAATGCTGTGATATGGTCTGTGGAGTTGTCTCCCTTAGAGGTAAAAAATAAATAGTCTCTTGTTATTCTTTTAGAATGGCTTTTCATGTATTTTATGTTTGTGTTTTACGTTTTATATGTAATTTTATGTATACATGTAAAGATGAGACTGAAATAAAGAAATTATATATATTTAAGACATTTATAAAAATACGGTGCATATCCATATCGGTACCCTCTTTGCGAAATCTGCTCAAACGGTACCCTCTTTGCACATGCACAGGTCATTCTCTGCTAAAAACAAACCAGCGATGGATAACAATCCAGTAAATTTTCAATGTAATAAGGAAAGGAGGTATGACACGTAGAAAAGGTTTATACCACGGAACACTAGAATGTTTTATTTATGTGCTGATTTGTAATGTGCCCATTTTTCATGTACTGCAACTTCACAATAAGCTACAAAAAATCGACATGTCTTGCCTCGCCCATCACCTCGACTAATTTTTTCGGGCTGAAATGAACCTGCGGCTTGATTATGTATGCATATCAGGGTCAAATGCAAGAGTACCAGGTCAATGTTGTTGATAATAATGCAAAAATGTTTACTCATTTTAATGTTTTTGGGCAATAATGCAAAAATGTTAAATCATTTTTTAAAATAACAAGATAAAGATTGATACTGCTTCAAATATAAGAGATGTTCATTCGGAAAAGAATATTAAAAATCGGCTAGACTTAAGTTTTTTTGGCTAGACTTTAGTTTTTTTTTCAATCAGTTTTAAAGTTTTTGTTATCGAATGAAAGTTTAAATTTAGACCTTCAAGTATATTAAGATAGAAAATCAAAAATAGTACCCAGGAATTAGATATTGCAACTTAAAACTTAAAAAGTTCGTTTATCTTGCGTAAATTCGGAGCGTTTCGGTAAGCCGTACTTAGTAAACTCGAAACCGTACGTACTCCCTTTAAATTCTTACGACTTTTTAAACAATTTTTATAATGTAATTGAATTAT